ATATGATCTTTTGTAAGGGTCACCACAATAATTGCATTTGAATAACACATTCCCTCCTCCTTCAAATATTTTTCCTAACTTGGTAACATGATTCCATAATGGCTTATCAGTTTCTACATATGGCTCTTTTCAACCACTCCCACCAGCACTAAAACTCATTTTACAAACCCTACGAAATTGGCTGACACAAAGGATGAAAAAAATTTATACACAAATCCCACAAAGAATAAATAGCACTATCTCTATTCAACCACATCTTGCATTCCAGGTGCTTGTATTTGGTCTAGAACCCTAGGTAGAATTTGAAAAATAAAGGCTTAATAAATTGGGTATTTGCCAAAAACAGTTCAAGAACAATTAAAGAACTAAAGGCCTAATAAATTGGGTATTTAGGTGACATATTGTAAAACATTTAAAATTTGTCAAACAAAGTTCCAGAAAAATTAAAGAACTATTGCATCATGTGTTTATGAATACAACTCTTAAATCTTAAATCTTAATAAAGTTTGACATGAAAGATTTGGGTCTTTAAAAAAGAATCTTATGATGATGACAAAGAGAAACAAATTTTCTAAACTACTACTTACATCCCAAACTTCATACTTAAAAAGATTGCTTAAAGGTTTGAAATGTAACATACAAAAGTTGTTCAAATAACTTTATATATGAATAAAATCAAAATGCATAACCATTTCTAAAGCTATGAAGGAAACTAAATCAAACTTTCAAAAGAAAAAATATAAATTGCTCTTTCGATCACTAATACATTGAATCATTGAGAAATGAAGAGAAGAAATGGTGAATGGAGAAAAGAAATGGCGAAATACACTTACAGGACTTGAAGAGATGCAAGGTTTGGCCGCAGCTTGCTTCAGTTGTGCGTAGAAACGATGAAGGAACAGGTAGGGGACGGAGAAGATGAAAACTTATGCTCACCTTGGCCTCGAGTGGGCGTGGAAACAACAAAGGAAAGGGAAGACCTGCTCGGCTACTCGCGATTTGGCCTCAGGGGCACACGAAAATGACGAAGGAAGAGAAGACTAGCTCGGTTGCTCGCAGTTTGGCCTCGGGTGCAAGCAGAAACGACAAAGGAAGCGAAGACCTGTTCGGCTGCAGGTCGCGGTTTGGCTTCGGGAGCTCGCCTCACTTGCCCTAGACAAATACGAAGGAAAGCCGCCCAAACGAAAATTAGGGCTAGGGGGAATACGCATATACATAAAGATTTTCTTTTTTTTAATTTAATTATTAAATATTAGGACCAAGATTTTAAAAGGCGAAATCAAGAATCGAGACGCTTTGTCTAAGCGTAATTACAACTGATTACAAAGCAAAAGAGCAACAAAAAAGCAGCAAAAGTGAAAATGCAACAAAAGCGCAGCAAAAATGCAGTAAATTAAGTTTATGATGGTCAAAACAATTGATTATAAAGTAAAAGCACAACAAAAGGGCAGCAAAAATGAAAGTGCAGCAAAAGGGCAGAAAAAGCGCAGTGAAAGTACAACAAAAATTTGGTCAAAATAGTTATTACAAACCAAAAGAGCAGCAAAAAGGAAAAGTAAAAGAGCAACAAAAGTGTAGTGAAAGCGCAGCAAAAGCGCACACGCACGAGTCCTCCTCGAACGCTTTTTTAATCTATGATTGGGCCATGCGTGTTTGATTTAATTTAATATATTTTTAAATGTGGCACGCCAATGCCGTGTTGAACACATGTCCATGGCGTGACAGACACGTTTACATGTCGTGTCGGACACATGTCCATGCCGTGTCGGACGTGTGTCCATATCGTGTCGGACGTGTGTCCATGTCATGTCGGACTTGTGTCCATGTCGTGTCGGACGCATGTCCATGTCTGACACTGCATTCACTCTTTAAGTGGAGTGTCGGTGCATCATAGCTTAGATGGTTTGGTCACATAAAATGGCAGTCTTTCGAAGGAAGAATTATTACGTCCTCCGACCGGATGCAGAGGAACATTCGGTCGTAGGCAAAATCGCGCCTATACCGAGGTGTACCGAGTTTTTTCAAAAAAACTCGGTACACCTCAGTATAGGCGCGATTTTTCCTACGACCAAATGTTCCTCTGCATCCTTACACCGAATCAAATAAAAGTTCCTTTCGAAGACCTAGTTAGGAGAGTAGATGTATTAAATTTGGATTATGTTAAGAAAGCTTGAGGTAGACCTAAAAAGACTTGTTTGAAAAATTTTAGAAATAACGTTTCTTTATTAGATTTAAATGAGCATTTAATTTTTAAAATGACAATGAAGAAAAATGATTCATGTAGCCAACCCCACGTAGTGGGATAAAGGCTTGTTGTTGTTTGTATAATCTTCTAGTTAAATTTTGCTTAACAATATTCTTTTACTAAGTGTTCACCCTTGCTATATATAGTAAGTTAATTTTTATTTTAGTTTTATACTTTTATATTTATTATAATTTATTAAATGATAAAATGAGCAACATAAGCAATATAATCTCACATACAATCGCACTACCTAAAATACCCTCACATTTAACTTTGATGTTAACTTCAACTATTATTTTAAGCCTCAAGGCCAAATTGAATCTATTTTCAACAGTCAATGGACTAAATTGGGGCAATGCAAAACACTAGGACTAAATTGGGCACTTGCAAATAGTTAGGGACTATTTTAATCTTTTCTCAAAATATAATATAGCCTTAATAATAGAATTCTAGTAGAATTTTGATGAACAATCAAGAGCTTCAATGAAGTTTCATTCAAACTATTTGAAATTCGGGTGAAATTATTGAGTTACATCATAAAATTTACCAAAACTCTTGAAAATAATTGAAACAAAAAATAATGTATTTTGGATCGATTTAAACAGAAACCATCAAAAGTTAAAACCATGCTTTGGACACACCTTCTAGTCCTTAATGCACTCTTCCACAACTTCATGTATGCCTCATAAAAGTGAATCTACAAACAACTATCACAATCATGAACATCTACTTCTTGTACATTGCTGTCTAAGTACTTCTCAATTATCTACCATACTCCAAACCTTCACATTTCTATAGAAATCATTTGTTAACTAAGCTGCTCTGATGCCACTATAGCTCTCTAAACCTTAATAAATATCTCATCTCAACATAAAGCTTCGCCTTGTGCATCTTTTTCACAAATAATTCTCCTACATTTTAGAAGATCAATTTATAATACATTTCAAACATATATTCATTATAATATTTGAAATTTGCTTCCTCGAAACTCTTATTTAATAATTTCTCAAAGTAGAATTTGAGAAAGTGCATTATGGGATTTAAATCATTTGAAAAATTCTCCGCCTTATCAATGGTCCAAGATGAAAATGAACTAATAACTATAGCCTATTAAATACTTCCATATGAAATAGAGCTAACCACTAAAACAAGAAACTTTGGATTTGAAACATTTTGGTGACAAACCCAAAATGCAGGCCACATTGAAAATAGCGCCAAAAAAAAGGCTTGTCACACTACAGTGCAAAAACATTTATGCCCAGCGAGACATTGGCAAAGAAATTCTAGCAGTTGCATTGAAATCACATTAAAATCAAATTGTGGAAACAAATTGAAAATTTTTAACAAGCTGCATAATGGAGGCAACATATTGAAATTTTTACAACTGCACTATGGTGCCAATCAAAGGCCAGTGGGTGTAACTAATAAGAATAATACCATGTTTGATTGAGAAAAAGGAATTTGAGAGTTGATAGGTAAATGTTATTTGTTTCATTATTCTTGCATAATAAATATATGCACAACGTTACAGACATAAAAAAGGAAATAATTAAAAGAAATGGTTGTAATGGAGAGAAATGGATATGGTACACTTATTGTAATGACTGATAAAGGAAGATATCTATCTAGAGCAGGGAATAACAATGACTCAATGGTTTTTAATGTAAACATCCTTTTTGAAAAGGTGCAACTTTCTTCAAGACCATCTATGATTTTCTAAGACTTCTTGTCTCAAAGGATAACCTCATCATTTACAAAAGGTCAAAAGAGAAGTTAATGCTCTATGATTCTTCTTTTTTTTAAATTAGGCTTAACCGACGCATCTTTTTATTATTTGGCATAGATCATTAAACCATCCATCACTCTCTAACAATAATCCAGTAAACTATGCTTGGGTTTTAGGTTGTGGAAAAACTAACTAATTGATCATCAATCCATCCCAGCCTCAATAGCTTATTACCTATGTTGCACCGATAGACCTATTTATGAAGGCGTGTTGTATCTGATACACTGATACACGAATACGCCTCCGATATGGCACTGATACGTAACGGATACGGCTTTGTCGTATCCAATTAAAATATTATTTAATTTCAAAAGGACATGCATATCAGATACTTGTATCCATTGGAAAAAAAAAATTGAAAAAAGGCACGTCGTATTTACTTCCGCAGCTGCGAGCGAGGTTCTCTCATTTCCGAGATGGATTTTGATATTATAAGCTATAATGCTACAAAAGATGTTGCTTTTTTTTAATTTTAAATATTATGCTTTAATTTTTTTCTTAATTTTTATGTATGATTTATAAATTATAATGCCGTGTTCGCGCCATATCTGTATCCTGTATTTTTAAGAATTGACGTGTCTCGTATGCATATCGTGTCGTATCTGTGTCGTTGTATTCGTATCGGTGCAACATAGCTTATTACCTTAGATCGTAGGCCAAGCAATAAGGTAATACAATCCACCATTTATGTTTATTAATAGCAGAAATCAGGATGTCCCTATATTTTCAACCTTCAGATTGTCAAGGAACTAAAACTCGTTCTATAATATCGTAACTGACGTAACAAGTATGAGTCTCTTCCCTATTTCTTTGACCATGTATAATGGCACCACACTATACCTCTTATTTTGAGAAAGAGAAAGTTAACCTGTCCTTCAGGTAATTCAGTGCATATCAAAAGTACAAGCAAGAGTGGAAAACAGCCACAAAGAATCAAATATCCACAATAGATACAATGACAACAATTACCCTTGTTTGCTTCAAGACTTTCAAGCACATCTGCGACCATTCTCATAATTTCATCGCAATCTCCAAAGGAGATGGAGCTCCCAACTTGCAATAATTCCGGACCCTCCCTCCCTAAACGCGAGATTTTGCAAGAAGCTGAAGAATAGAGCACTGATATCATGGTCTCGATGAGGCGCTCAATCCGAGCGCTGCAGACCTGCAAATTCCAAAAAGATGCTTGTGAGAGTCCGCAAAGAGGCAGGAAAATAATTAAATGGAAAATGAGAGAGATGAGAAGAACACGTCGGTTGTTTTCAGACACATAAGGGAGAGCGCCGCGTCCAAAACCCTAATCCCAGTCGAGGAGTTATCATCGGAGTTAAGAGATTTGCTTAGGGAAGAGATGGCCTTAGATGTTCCATCCTTTTCACCGCCCTTGAAGTTGAGGTCGACGGCATTGGATTGCCGGACTTCGCTGGCGATCTTAGAGAGTAGGTGTGTTAGCTCCATGAGAGCGAGTGCGCAGGGCGGCAAAAATGGAAACCAAATGCTAAACTCAATAAATTACATATATATATATATCCACAACTCAACTTGGCGTGTTGGTTGAGAGTATTCAACTAAGATGTCTTAAATTTGAGTCTTTGTGTATGCGTCATATGTGTTAATTTATCTTAAATGACCTAAATGTCCAAAAAAAATTACATATATGTCACACAAGAACTATTTAAATAGTTACCTTAAATTTTTAGCATCGTAATTATTAAAATATATACATAGAAATATATAAATCACAACAATGACATCAAGAGTTCTATAGTAATGAACTTTTGTGTTCTAAAAATATTGTATTAATATCATTGCTTCTAAAATGCAGTTTATCTTGATGTGATGGTTGGGAGCTTTGACTGCTAATTAAGAGGCCCTGAATTTAAGTCTTGCGTATAAGATGTATATATGAATTTGCCTTAATTTGTCTAAATGTCCAAAAATATATATTGATGCTAAGAATTATGGAGAATTTTATTGCATTGTTAGGCTTTTGTGTCAATCACTTTGAAAGTTCAATATTCTTCTCTAGAGTTCCTAATTCTATGATTTTTTTTAATATGCTCAACTTAACAATACAATTATTATAGCATGCAAATCTATATAGTGTGCTTATCAGAATGTAAGTGGTATGTTAAAATGCATGGCGTGTGTTAATGAAGAGTAATTATAAACATGTTATGTTTCGTGCCCACACTAGCCACATTTTATAGATGCTTTTATTCTATTTATTTATTTCATTCAAAATGGCATTTATGCAAAATTAATCAATGGAATTTCAATATGTTCATAACAAAATGGTCAAAATAATACTATCTATCACATAACAAAAGTTACATGATGGAAACTTTCTATGTCAGAAGATAATGCATTTTAAATAGATTTGGAATAAATAAAATTGGATAAATAAAAATCATTGATAGCTCTTACAGATTTAATACATGCATTATTCTATTCATTTTATTCAAAATGGCATATGTGCAAAACTACCTGATAGAATTTTAATATGTTCATGACTTAATACTCAGAATAATGTTGTTTGCCACATATCAAAAGTTATACGGTGAAAACTTACTAAATTGGAAGATAATGCATTTTAAATAAATTTGGGAGAGATAAAATTGCATAAATCAAAGTCATCAAATACAAAAATAAGATTAAAGTTACCTACCGTGATCAGAGCAACTTTCTCAATAAGAATAATGGGCAAAATAGCTCTAGAGAATCTTTCTATCTCTTCTCTCTCCTCTTCCTCTCCCCCTCTTCTCTTCCTCTCTTTCCCATCCAAGGAACTGAAGAATGGGGCATTTGGGGTGTGGTGTGGGTTTTAAATATAGGGCAGTGGTTTTAGATATTAAAAAAAAATATTTGACTAATACTGTAATACTTGAGGCCCCAACACCACAGCTTCCCCAAGCTACATTAAAATAAAGGAGATGATGATGCAGTGCAGCTCTTAATGTTGCTACGCTCTTACAATCATAACTTAAAATACATAGAGACTAGTATCATTGTGCTCATAAGCATACTGCCGCATCACTCTAATATTATGGGAGAGTTTGTTATCCTAGTTGATGCTAAACAATGAGAAGACACAACCTCCTAGTATTAGGGACTAAGATTGAAGTGATGAAGGAAGAAGAAAAAAGTCAATAAATATTCAATGATTATGTAATTTTTAAGCTAGAATATCCTAATCTAGATTTAACGATTGTTATATAGTTGACCTCTATTATTAATTGCATGGCTATCTTTTACACCCCAACACCAATTATTGGTGATATAATTTAAAATGTAGATGTACAAGTAATACTTTTTTGTGCATATAGGCCTCCTAAATACTGATTAATATATATCTATAATTTCAAGCCATCTCTTTTAAACTTGAATGAATAATTTATTATACCTTTTAGGAAGCTTAGTGTCTATTTGATAACTTCTTGATTTTACTTTATGATGTTTTGCAATGATCATCTATCAATTCTCATTACATTTATAATTTTGGATAGTATGCAAATCATTGCATGCCTGAAAGTATCAAACTATTTAATCTCTCTTTAATGACTAAAGGTCTAGTTCCTTGTTTAGGTCGCAACTTTTATCTCCATGATGCGTTATATGAGGTTGAACTAACATATTTGGTGGGACTAATAATCTTTTGGTGTCAATTATAGAACTTTTCCCTAGTCAAACTATCCCTTTAAGACAATAGAAAATACCATCTTAAGATAAAATCATTTTTCTCAAGCCTTGGAGTAGATGTGTGATGCCCTTAGATCTAATGGAAGGATTGATTTGTCCAAACCAATGATTTAATCTCAAACATCAATAACAGCAACTAGAGCTACTAATATTTCTAATCATAAAGGCAATATCAACCAACTTCATTTTACCAATGCATAATTATAATAATCCAGCTCTGGAATATCTATATGTCAAAATAATAAAACTAGATTTCAAAAATCAATACCTTGTTAATCAAATCCCAATGATCTCCCCACTACACCTAATTTACTATGTTGGGCCTTATACTCTTTCCTAAAATATTAAATAGAATAGAATCAATACAGCTAGTTTAGTAGACTTATTATCATGATCACTCACATATAACAATATTCAAATTAAAAGATGAAATTGAAATAAAATAGAATGAGCAATAAAGAATCATTAAAGTACTAATATAACAATAAAATACAACTTTAAAGGTTCTTGTGCACACTTGACATTTTCACTAACTTGTAAAACCACTTTCTCAGAGTTTTCACCAACCTACCACACTAACATATAACAAGTGTGGCTAGAATCCCTCGCACATTCGCACTAGGTAAATAAGGTTAGAAGAGTACATAAAATATTGCATAACCTTCAACACCTATATTCAATAAGTGGGGTTACAATTTCTCCCACATATGTACTAGGTAGATGAGGCCATAATAGAATATTTAAGGCCCTTGCCACATATCAAAGAGTTTACTTTTTCATATATCAGAACATCTCCAATGCCATATCGTGAATAATATAAATATAATTATAATAGTAACTGAATTGCACCTTTTAATGCAATGCATGTATAATGCATAATATGCAATTAAAAGCCATATTACTTACAAAACATGACACCCACTAATTTGCTTTCTAAATAATTTTCAACTTCAGAGGAATATTTATATGAACAATTAAGATATTTATAAAATGCCGCAATAGCATGAAAAATCTCAATTGGATTATAGAATAAAAAATTTATACAAAAAATCAACCAATGAAAATTCAATTTTTTATAGTCCAAATGTTAAAAGCAGAGCATGCAACAATATATGAAAAGTTATGTGACGACAAAAGCTTTGCTAAAATTTGAGGAAAATTAATTTTAATCCATATTTGTTTATAAAATAGCATAAATTGAAATCAGAGATCAAGATTCATAAGTCTATTTAGTGCTTTTTAATATCTCAAATAGGCCCAACAGAAGAATCTTGAGCTTTAGCGCCCAAATTCTCTCTCTCTCTCTCTCTCTCTCTCTCTCTCTCTCTCTCTCTCTCTCTCTCTCTCTCTCTCTCCCTCCTCTTCATCTTCTCCTCCTCCTCTCCCTTTCTTCTCTAGCAAGGTTGGCTAGAGAAATTATTTTGTGCAAATGATTTTAAATATTTTATTATTTAAAAACCCACTAACTTGACCTAGCACTATGGTGCCTAACTTTCCAGCACTATTGTGCTCCCAGGCAATCTTCCAGATTCTCACTGAATATCTTCAACTAAAACTCGACACCACGGCTATGCTTCCTAAGACCACAGTGCACACCCATAACCCCATTTTTTCTTCATTTTTTTGAGAGTTCAATGATGTAGTGTTGCCAACCATGGTGCTACGATGCCCATAGAATTATTTTTCCCACTTAAATTTTCACTTATCAAACCCAAATCTTGGTTATTTACTATAATAGCTAAATTTTTATTTTTTAAAATTTTCTCTATGAGCATTACGGCTCTGGGGTTGGTTGCACCCTGTTATTGAGCTCTCGATTTTTTGGACAAAAAAAGATTTTTGAGTGAGAGTTATGGCGCTAGGTCAAAATAAAGATTTTTTAAATAATAAAATATCTTAATCCACTTCATTAACTCCCTTACTCCCACCAATTTCCCACAATTTTTGCATGCCTTGCTAGGGAAGATAGAGGAGTGGAAAAGGGGAGAAGAAGCAGAGAGAGAAGAGAGAGGAAGTTGCATTTGGAATTTCATATGTTAGACCTATTACGAAATTTCTTCTGATTGTGTTAGGTTACATGAATCCTACATTTATTTTAAGTGACTTTGGACTATGAATATAGTCTCTCATAAATCAATAAAAATGTATTTTCTCCTAATTTTTCATATGATTGATAAGTGGCATCCAGTGTGTGCATGGCACACAAGAGGTTTAATTATGTAAGTGCATGTCAATCAATTAATAAAGTGAATTATAGGATTGTCGATCCCACGAGAAAAAATGTATCCCTAAGAATCTCTTAGTGTTGTCTACTCAAGTGGCATGATTATCTTACTGAATCTATTTGAAGGTGAGGTTTTACAAACGACTGAAAATACTTAAAAGATAAAGTACTAATAATAAAAGA